GAACCTGCCCTCTGTCCCTCTACTGTGTCTCAAGCTGGGCACCAAATATCATAAGTCATTTGAAAATCTTTGCCTTTATTTTTAGGGTTGTAGCAGAAATACCCACATAAAATAAAATGCACAGTCTCAAAATCCTGTGCTCCCTTGCTCCCTCTTCTGGCTCTTCAGAAATATTTAGCAAACATATCAAGTCCAATTCTTAGGGGCTGATTCAAAGCCCACTGAAGTCAATGGGAGTCACTCTAGTGCACAAAAGCCACTATCATCACTGGTGCTGATGTGCAATTTGGTGGCGGTAGCGTGACCAGATGTCCCGATTTTATAGGGACAGTCCTGATTTTTTGGGGGGCTTTTTCTTATATACACCTCTACCTCGATATAACGCTATCCTCGGGAGCCAAAAAATCTTACCGCGTTATAGGTGAAACCGCGTTATATCGAACTTGCTTTGATCCACCGGAGTGCGCAGCCCCGCCCCCCCAGAGCACTGCTTTACTGCGTTATATCCGAATTTGTGTTATATTGGGTCGCATTATATCGGGGTAGAGGTGTAGGTACCTATTACCCCCCACTTCCTGGCCCGATTTGCTGTCTGGTCATCCTAGGTGGCGGACACAGCAAAGAGACCAGCGATTAAATAAGCATTGGAAGGGAAGCACTCCTCCCCCTCAGAAGCGTTCCTTCCAAGTCAGAGTTGAGGTATACTTGCTGACCTTAAGGAAGACTATATTCCTGCTGCTAGTGCTGTACTTGATCTGTGGATAATCCAGAGCACATCAGTGGCTTCCAGTCTTCAGAGTGCTTCCTAGGCTTTTCACCTGGTATCAGTCATAAACATTCTCCTGTAGAGTTTGAAATCCAGCACTAAGAAACTGAAAGCAACACTTCACTGATTTTCATTACCAGTCTGAGAGAAATAAATTTAAGTAAATAACAGTATAAATGGTGATGAGTACATTGCATTTTATTTAAAAAAAATGTTTTTAATAGTCTAAAAGTGAATAGTGAAATTAAGCGTATATATGTTTGCAGGATCTGGGCCTGAATTGATACTTGTAAAACAGGTAAACAAACATGTTTGTTTACAAAATATTTTGTAAATTTACACCACCCTGTATATTTACTTAAGACTAGAAAGCTCTCCTTCCTACAAAAAAATAAAAATAAAATAAACACAATTAACCTCCCCCCCCGCCCCAATCCCTGTATAACAAAACATCTTTCAACTGCAACAGTGAATTCCTATTCAGCTAGTATTGACTGTTCTCTTTTCTTGGATAAGAGAGCAGCAGTAAGAGACTCTTGGGGTGGTTTTATAATTCCCTTTTCTCTTCTCTACATCCCTTCCACCATCTCTTTTCTTTCTGGTTATGTCATTACATGACTTAAATATGAATCGAACATATACGTCTGGGGCTTTATATTTGCATTTTTCACATCTGGTTTGTATCTTTATCGTTTTCAAATGTTATCCTAATTTAATAAAACTTTAAAACTAAAGTTAATCTAAAATTTGTACTAAACAGCTATCATCACCCTCAAGTTACAAACATCAGGCCGGAACATCCCCCCTCCCCCTTTGCAGTAACAAACCATGGGAGAAGACAAGAGGAAAGAAGTCTCAGTGAGGATTCTGAAGTATCATGGCTTTACTGAGACTCTCTTTGGCTCTGGGGTATTCCCACAATGCAAGCAGGGGGAAAGGCTATACAGCCACAGGCTTTTCTGCCCCTCCCATTGCTGTACTCTCCATTCCCTGCTCCCAGCTTGCTCAACGTGATCATCTCAAACCCCACAGATCCCAACCTTGCAAAACACTTTCATTCTGTGAGGTCTTGACTTGGAGAAAGGATGGACAATGCTGTGGACGCAGATGAGTCATTCCTTTCCACATGGAAAGGGTAGGGTTCACATGTGGAAGGGAACTTCCATGTGCTGATCTTGGAGGCATGATCTGGCCAGTGATATCACTATCACTGTCATTCATAGTACAGTTTATGGTCCTAGACCTGCAATTTAGCATTGTAATGTGTCAGTAATTTTTACTCAGTACCATGGACTAATTCACACTGAATTATTTAGTCAGCTCTAGCACACCATTATCACTAGGGCCCTACCAAATTCATGGCCATGAAAAATGCATCACGGACCATGAAATCTGGTCTCCCTACATGAAATCAGGTCTTTTGTGTGCTTTTACCCTATACTATACCGATTTCACGGCGAGACCAGCGTTTCTCAAATTGGGGGTCCTGACCCAAAAGGGTGTTGCGGGGGGGTGTTGCATGGTTATTTTAGGGGAGTAACGGTATTGCCACCCTTCCTTCTATGCTGCCTTCAGAGCCGGGCAGCTGGAGAGCGGTGGCTGTTGGCCAAGCGCCCAGCTCTGAAGGCAGCGTCGCGCCAGCAACAGTGCAGAAGTAAGAGTGGCAATACCATACCATGCCACCCTTTCTTCTGTGCTGCTGCCTTCAGAGCTGGGTGGCCGGAGAGTGGCAGTGGCTGACTGAGAGGCCAGCTCTGCAGACAGCAGCACAGAAGTAAAGGGAGCAGTATCGCAACCCTCCCTACAATAACCTGGCAACCCCCCTCACAATTCCTTTTTGGGTCAGGACCCCTACAATTAGAACACTGTGACACTTCAGATTTAAATAGCTGAAATCATAAAATTTACTAATTTAAAAATCCTATGACTGTGAAATGGACCAAAATGGACTGTGAATTTGGTAGGGCTCTAATTATCACTCAGAACGTCATAGTAACAGTGACCGTAAAACTTCCTACTCCAAAGGACAGGCCGCCATCTTCTCTAGTTGATGTAGAGGGCCTAAAATGGTTCTTTCAAGGACAATGGTGCAAATAAACATTAGCTGGTGTATTGCAATGAGGGCTGGCTCCAGGTTTTTTGCCGCCCCAAGCGGCAAAAAAAAAAAAAGCCGCAGCAGCGCGATCGCGCCATTCCACTCTTCGGCAGCAATTTGGCGGCAGGTCCTTCGCTCCGAGAGGGACTGAGGGACCCGCCGCCGAATTGCTGCCGAAGACCCGGACGTGCCACCCCAATAGCAGCTAGAGTGCCCCCCCTTGGTATTGGCCAAAGCACCTGCTTCTTTAGCTGGTGCCTGGAGCCGGCCCTGATTGCAATAGCACTGTGACTGTAGGGTCCAAGTCTGCAAGCAATTTTATACAGGTGAAATAAATGGTACTATTAATTTAAGTGACATATTCCGATACGTAAGTTTTGTAGTATTGGCACCAGCGTTTGCCGCAAATGTTGGCATTTTTCCTCAAATAATTATTGACAAATAATAAACTTTATTATACAAATAATTAACAAATATTTTACTAGTTCTAACAGGAACTAAGGTGAAATTGTTAGGTGGCCTCTGGATTCAGAAGCAAGATCTGAGCTCCTGAGAACCCCTGATATTTGAGGATGAGTTTTGTAAATATGTATTGAAATAGCTATAACCTAAGATTTTCAAAAGTTATTCGTGATTTTGGGTGCTTCAGTTTCTGGGAGGTCTAAAGACACTTAAAGGGATCTGACTGTCAGACAGTGGGAGCTCAGCACTTCCTGACAATCAGGCTGGGTTAAGGTCCCTTAAATTGGGCACTCAAAATGACTAATCTCTTGATAAAATATATTATAATGCGTATGAGTGCTACTGCCCTCTCCTGGTTGGAATCTGAACTACAGATCTGTGTGTCATATTTGCTGAACGTTGGAGATTTCTCCTTTTAGCTCATGCTGTAGGAGTTTGTGCTAAGTAGCAGGATAATCTGAATCCTGCTTATCCTTTTCTGAGTGGAAATTGTGTTCCACACAGAGACAGCTGAGAGGTTATTAGGTGCATGGATCATAGTAACTGAGAGTAAAACTTGAAGTTCTGAGCAGGGCCATCCCTAGGCGGGTGCGGGGCCTGGGACATAGGCACCGAGTTTCTATCTGCCAGGGGGTGCTCCCCCCGCCTCCGCCCAAGCCCTGCCCCCACTCCACCCCTTCCCCCAAGGCCCTGCTTCTGCCCCTGCTCTGTTCTGCCCCACCCCAGTTCTGCCCCACCTCTGAGCATGCTGTGCCCTTGCTCCTTCTCCCTCCCCCTAGTGCCTCCAGACACCATGAAACAGCTGAGGGAGGGGGAGATGCTGATCCTTGGGCAGGAGGTGCTGGAGGGAAGGGGAGGTTGGTAGAGAGGCTCCTCCTCGCCCCCCTCTCCCGCCTCACCTCCTGCACGCCCCCTCACGAAGTGCTGGGCCCCCCAAAGCGTGGGGCCCGGGGCGGTCACCCTGATTCGCCATACCCTAGGGACGGCTCTGGTTCTGAGTGATAATTAGGGCCCTACCAAAGTCATAGTCCATTTTGGTCAATTTCACTGTCATGGGATTTTTAAATTAGTAAATTTCATGTTTTCAGCTATTTAAATCTGAAGTGTTAGAATGTTATAATTGTAGGAGTCCTGACCCAAAAAGGAATCATGGGGTGGGGGTGGGGGGTGTCACAAGGTTATTGTAGGGAGGGTTGCGGTACTGCTACCCTTACTTCTGCCTGTAGAGCATGGATCGGTTGCAAAATCATTCATCAGGGACAGAGACAATGAAAAGCCTCTTAAAAATTATGTTAGAGGAAAAGTACTGAGTTTCTCTTTTTTTATTCTGTATAATTTTTAGGTTTTTTTTTTTAAATACACAAAATGGAGATAGTAGGAAGAGACATATAATCATAGCGTGGAAAAATGTAGATTGTAAAATCCAAAGGATTAAATGAATAAAGTAAAAGATGCATACAATTGTTTGTTCCCTATTGTGCAGGTGCTGGTAAATACTCACCATTCCTTCAGAGATACTTCGCAGATTATCTTGGGGCTTCTTGCAGATGCAAATTGGGTGTGTGGCCAGCAGGAGGAAGGAAGAGGAAGTGAGAGCAGCAGCAGCAGAGTGTGTGTTTGAGTCTGATGATGGGATAGAGTCAGAAACACCAAAACAGCAGCGGTAAAAAGCCCAACTTCAATGGTGGGAGAGGCGCGGGCCGGGGAAAGGAAGCGGCGGAGCTGCCAGGCGCTCGCCGCAGCAGGGCAGCAAACTTCACCCCGGCTCCACTCTGCACTTGGCTGCTGGGGGTGAAGGTGGTGCCTGGATTTTTAAGGTACTTTCGTTTCCGTTTGGACAGGTCTGCGGGGGGGGATGCACGGTGTGCTGAGAAGGCTCTCGGGGAGAGGGGCGCTGCGGCAGGGGGTGCCCCTGGCAGTGCAGTGGGGGGCACGTTGCTGTGGGCGCTGGAGGGGCCAGGGCTAAGGTGGAGATGCCGCTGGGGCGCGGGCAGGGTTTGGGGTGGGGGCGGCACGGTGGGAGGAGGGGGTGGGGTAGGATGCTGGCTGTGGGGGGTGGCAGGCGGCTGCAGGAGGAGACCCCGCACCTGGCCAGGGGTGACGGCTGCGGGGGGGGGGCTGGTGGGAGACGTGCCCCCTTCGCTTTCTCAGCCCAGGAGCGTGGCCCCGGCTATGCTGGGGGCGGCTGGGGAAGGGGAAGTGGCTCGGCTGACATCGCGCTGAGGAAGAGGAAACGCAGCCGCCCTCCCTCGTGCTTGTCAGCGCGCCCGGCTGCCCCGTGTCGCGGCCGGGGCCGCCTGGAGGGCGCGGGGCGGGGGCCGGGGCGCAGCCTCCCTGCCCTTTGCGGCTGCCCCAGCCGCAGCGAGCGCCGCGCTCCTCTGCCTCCACAGCCCCGGGCGCTGTGTGTGGGGGTGGGAGCAGCTTTTCGCCCCTTTCCCTCAGCCGCTAGCCCGGCCCCTTTTTCCCAAACTGCCCTTCCACTTCGCGCCCCCCGCTCCCGTGACACTACCTGCTCCCCGTCTGCCTCTCATCCCTGCCCAGTCCTCCCCCCACTGCCCTCACCCCGTCACTCTCCAGAAACGGGAGGCTTTAGTGCGTGTGTGCTGTTTTTGTCGGGGGGAAGCGGGGGGTGTTGCTGATTGATGTGTCTCCAGCCACCCGCAGATCCCTCTTTGCTGGTCCTGTTGTTCCAAAGTGCTGGGTCGTGGCAACTTGGTCTTACAGACAGTTGACCTCATAAAGTGGGTTGGGAACATCTGTGTTAGCAATTGCGTGTACTCTGCAAATGCACTCAGGCAAACACAGGCTGTCTGCAGAGCAGTGGGTATTTAGTATGTCACTTGTGCATGTAGCTCTAATGCAGAGAAGGGATCATTCTGAAGGTTTGATGTGCTCTTTAATATGTTGGTGGAGGAGGATGGTTGAACTAAGATTCTTTTCTTGCTCTCCTTTCCCCCCCAGCCCGATCATATATTTGAAGCTTGAAGATTAAGGGTTCCTTGCACACAAACTTGTACTGGTTTAGTTAAGCTGATACAAGAATGGATGCTCGTTTTTATTTTCTGTTTAAGAATGGCTTATTTTGGTTTAAAGAACAGGAGTACTTGTGGCACCTTAGAGACTAACAAATTTATTAGAGCATAAGCTTTCGTGAGCTACAACCCACTTCTTCGGATGCACCCGGAGTTTATATCCGGAGTTGAGTTTTGGTTTAGTTTATATCCGTTCCTAATCTGTAGAAGATAAACTAAAATAAGCTTGGTTTAAACCGAACTAAGAGTGGCTGGTGCCAAATGAGTTTAAAAAGAAACCTTACGTTAAAGCAGTGCAACTCTGCATGTAGTCCAGCCCTTAGTTCATTGTTGTTAATTAGTCACCTTCTTCTGAGTTCATGCCTCTTCCCTTTGCCAAGAACTTTTACTCTCAAGAGCTCTCAGTAGGGGCTGCCTTTTCTAAGATCTGTACCCATAGCAATAAAAATGATCTAACTGAGGATGCATTTTCATATAAAATTATTGTACTTGAATATGGCTGGGAATTATGCATAGCCATGGCATACAACCCCTTAAACCAAGTGGGTATGAAATCCAAGAAGTGGAGTGTTCAGGTTTTTGGCTTCAAATCCGTACAAAGTTTATTTTTGAATATCTTTCCCTTGCAGAACTAACACAACTGTCCAGCTCTCCCCTGAGAATGTAGACAAATTTTCAAAGTTCCTGAAAAATAACAGTACAGTTTAGAAGAGCCATATTTTATTATTACTTTTATAAGCCTATCTCTTAACCTGCCAAGGGTGAAATGTGGGACAAACACCCTCAAGAGAGAGCCAAAGATGATAATAGTGCCAGAAGTGTATCATGTGTTAACTTCTTTAGCATAGACAATATTGTCTATAATCTGAGCTTCATGATATTGTATTTACATCACACATGCTTACACTTGAAATATGTTCATAAGTATCTCATTTTTCTTTAGACTTTGAACCTAGCTTGTCGGAGTGTCCCTTATTAAAATCCTTATCAAGGGAAAAGTTGAGAAAGAACTAGAACTAAATACTTTATTATTCACAACTGGGATGTGGGGTAGGCAACTGGGTTATCTGTCTCATCAGTGGGTACCAGACCATGCTCTTTCTAGATGTTAGAGATCATTCAGTGTTCATGTGAATTGGCTTCTTTGCAATTACATATCTACTAGGTAGCTCAACCCATGCTGAGTATTTCTCCAATGCAGAAAAATACCTGCTTTTTTTTTTATAAAACTCATTTCACTCTAAGCCTTGAGTTCAACTTCTCTGTGGATCAGAAGTGTTCTGTTTTCCAAACCACCCAGTTCCATGATGGAAAATCTGTTTAATTCTAGTGGTATACCTAACAGCTGTAATCTGACTGTGTAATAGTAATTAGGTAGGAAGGAGAAAGAGAACTAGTGGTAACTTACTGGTAAACCTCCCTGTGGTATAGCATTAAGGAAGCATGTGTGACAACACACATTTTAGGGAATGATTAAATCATCTTGCAGCAACTTTTAAAATTCACTTGGGTTAGTTGGGTAATACTAAAGGTTAGCATCATGTTGCTGCATTAACTGTATTAAACAGGTACTGTTGGCAGACACTGCAGTTAGTGTAACCTTTTGATCACTTCATTTGATTTAGTAATCTAGAGATATACCTAACTGTCAGTTTCTCCAGGCAGTGAGGCTGTGCATTTAAATGGGTTAATCATTTTTTGTAATCCTTTTGAGAATCACAGTGCAGCATCATTCAATGTATGTCTTCTCTGTAGGTTGCAGTTTAGGTAAGAATGTAGCTGTACGAGTTTCCTTTATGAGGAGCAGAAAGAAACTGAGGATTTCTACCCTCTTGATCTTGAATTTTCCAGAAGTTGTTGAATTACGCTAGGAAAAATACAATAGAATTAAAGCTGAATGGATTTTGATGGCTGACTAGGTGAACTCTTTTACTGATCTATGCTAGAACAATTGTATTTTTATCAATGAAAGTACCTACGGTTTAACAATATATTTTATAGATTATATATGGAAAAATATTTTTAGAAATGCAGTAGACTGATGCAAAACAATACTTCAACAATGATCTACTCAGTTCCACCTCTTAGCATTTAAGTGGATTGCATTGTGTTCATTGTACTGACAGAGGTGATTTGATTTTTTTTTTCCTTACGGTTAACTTATGACATGCTGTCTACCAGTGTATAACCGAAAAAGTAAGTACTACTAGAGGTTTAACTGTTACTGAAACACTGCTGCATGTATTACACTTCCTTATAGCAATGCCCTTCTGTGTCAAATTGCAGATCTACTGTGCTGATGCTCCACCCTTCCTTCCGCTCTTTGTTTACTCTCCTAATAGAAATCTCTTTGATTATAAGGTTTGAGCTCACATATTTTCTTTGCCATGAAGTTCAGTCTTTTGAGAGGTGTTTGGATGTGATCTCATGTTTTCCATGCTGACACAGACAATGCCTGAACATTTACATGTTTCTTTCGTTAAATTTAGTAGATGTGTATTTAGTGCATGTGAAAGTGAGAGACTGATATCCTTGGCAATAACTGACTGCAAGCTTTTCCACACAGCTCTTCCAGTCCACCTCCACGCTGACATACAGTATGTACCTCCAGAATTGGGCCTCACCTCTGTTGAGTAGATTGTCAATCATAGCACTAAAGTCTTTTGTGGTTCTGTGACTTTGATAAGGATCTATTTGAGATTATGATGAAGCCATCAAACACAATTTCTTTCCCAAGTTGTGCCCCTTTTATCACAGAAGTAAATGATACATTTTGCTGTTGATAAATTGGAGAAGGTTTAGAGAAGAGCCACAAAAACGATTAAAGAATTGGAAAACATGGTTTATAGACTCAATCTGTTTAATTTGACAAAGAGAAGGTTAAGGGATGGCTTGATTACGGTCTATAAGTACCTATATGGGGAACAGATATTTGACAGTAATCAAATTTGAAATTTGATAATAGAGGGCATTTCACTCTAGCAGACCAAGGTACAATAAGATCCTGAAGTTAGACAAAGTCATTCTAGAAATAAGGCACATTGTTTTAACCAGTGAGGTAATTAAACTTTGGAACTACGGTGGTGGTCGATTCACCATCACTGGCAATTTTAAAATCAAGATTGGATGTTTTTAAAAGATATGCTCTAGTTCAGACAGAAATTAATTCAGGGAAGTTCTATGGCTTGTATTTATACAGGAGGTTGGACCAGATAATCACAACTGTCTCTTTGGGCCTTATAAAGCTCTGAATTATAGTCAATGAACCTTTTTGTCTGTCTTAGGTTCATGTGTGTTATATGTCCTTATAAAATTGTTTAAAAAAATACTCCTGTAAAACAGATTTTAAGAATCCTGGAGACTGACGTCTGCCATTCATCCACAGAAAAGGCAGTGGCAATGCAAGCTTCTCCACATTGCCCTGGCAATGTACGTCAGCACTGTTCTGAAGGGACCACTTGTAGGGGGGAGAGAGAAGTTCAAGTCTCCGTGCCTGTATCAAGCTATTGCATGGGTCTTTGCTGTATGTGATCTTTTTATCGCAAGCTTTGCAAGACACAAAAGAGTGATTTATGGATAGGTTGGCAGCCCTAATATTAAATTTCCTTGTTGTTATCCAATTGCTGTTAAGAACAGAATTGGGAACTGAATGCTACAGGGAACTGGTAATGTGTTTTACCTCTCTTGCTCGTTCAGGTCTAGTACTAAGGCATTGATTTCTGAAACTGTGGTCCGTGGATCGCCATTAGTTTGTGGAACCTTGCTGATGGGCCATGGACAGGCGG